CATCTGCCATCTCTGCTCTCCAGGTCCCTCAGTTCTAGGACAGGTCCACTTGAACCCATCAAATCCTCACATCAGCCCATTTTCAGATGAGCAAAACAAGGCTCAGAGGGGTGGGGTGGGGTCTCACCTATTCAAGGTGACACGCTGTGTAGAAGCGTGAGCCTAAAGCTCACCCCACTTAGACCAAGCAGCCTCCCAAAATGCCTGAAGGGCAAGGCCTGTGGCTGTATCCAGGTCAGACCCAGGGACGCAGCAGGTGTTACATAAATGTACATCAATCCAAACTGATCTCTCCTTCCCAACTAAGGAATCTGTCCTGCAAATGGAAATTCAGGAAACAAGGTACACCAGACCAAGAAGGTAAGTGCCACCAAGCTGCTATGGCAAACATCCAGATTTCAGCAAAACTAAACCCATGAGCAGAGAGCTGCCACTCAGTCCTGCCCTGCTTCCAAAGAGCCTCCATAGAACTCCTTCAGGCTGCAATACCCATAACCAGGCCAAAGAGAACCTCGATCACCCTGGGCCAGGATGTCTAGTCCCTAGATGCTCAACTGAGCACGGATGAGATCACAGATGTGCTTGGAGAATGAAACAGAAATATTCTGTGTCTCCCACAGTGTCCTAAGATATTGAAAGGGGCAGGATGCTAGACCCTGGACACTGGGTAATATCAACCCTTGGCTCTACCAAAAATTCTCCCCATGGATCCTGAGATGGCACTGAAAACTCTGTGGGTGTGCACTGCCCTGATATCTGCAGCTTCCTTCCAAGTCTCAGGTAGGTAGGTAAGGAAGGGAGGAAGGAAGGAAGGGAGAAAGGGATGAAGGGAGGGAGGGAGGAAAGCTGGCCAAATTTGTTATAGGAATCTGATTACTACAGCATCACCTGCTGGGGTTCTAACGTGGTTTGTCCCTTCCCAAACTCATGGTGAAATCTGGTCCCCAGAACAAGAGTTGAGAGGTGATGGGACCTTTAAGAGGGGATTAGGTCAGAGGGATTAACGCCTTTCTCAACACTGTAGTTACTTATATCACAAGTGTGGGTTAAAGCCAGGTGTGGTGGTTCAGGTCTGTAATCCCAGCACTTTGGAAGCAAAGGCAGAAGAATCTTGTGTTTGACCCAAACTGGGCTACATTAAGAGATGGTGCAGTGGTTAAGAACACTGACTGATCTTCCAGAAGACCTAGGTTCAATTCCCAGAACCCACCTAACTACACCTCCAGGGGACTCTGATGCCTTCTGGTCTCTGCAGGCACCAGGCATGCACATGGTATCCAGACATGCATGCAAACAAAACACTCATACACATGAAATAAAAAAATCTAAAGGGGGGAGCATGCTTCAGTAGGCAAAGTGCTTACCACAAAAGCATGACTTCTGACCCCTGGCACCTCTGTAAATAAAGGGTGGTTGTACTGACTAGTTTTAGGTCAACTTGACACAAGCTAGAGTTATCTGAAAGAAGAGAACCTCAATTGAGAAAATACCCATAAGATCTATAGGGCATCTTCTCAATTAGTGATTGATGGGGGAGAGCCCAGCCCACGGTGGGTGGGGCCATCCCTGGTCTGGTGGTCCTGGGTTCTATAAGAAAGCAGGTTGAGCAAGCGATGAGGAGCAAGCTAGTAAGCAGCACCCACCCCACCCCCACCATGGCCTCTGCATCAGCTCCTGCCTGCAGGTTCCTGTCCTGTTTGAGTTCCTGTCCTGGCTTCCTTCAGAGACGGATTGTGGATGTGGAAGTGTAAGCCAAATAAACCCTTTCCTCCCTAGGTTGCTTTGGTCATGGTGTTTCATCACAGCAATAGCAACCCCGACTGCCCACCTCTAATCCAAGCACTCAGGAGGCAGAGACAGGGAATCCTCAGGCCAAGCTGGATAGCTAGACCAGCCAAATCCCTGAGCTCTGGTTCAGCAGAAGACTCTGCCTCAATATATTAAGTGAAAAATGACGGAGAAAGACATCTGACACCAACCTCTGATGCACCCACACATATATGAATACACATGCACACATATCTGCACTGCAGAGGCACACATAACATGTAAATGTGTGTGTGTGTGTGTGTGTGTGTGTGTGTGTGTGACTGGAGAGACAACCGTGGGTGCTGGGAATCAAACTCTTACATTTTTGGTTGTGAGCCTACCCTTTAACACCTGAGCCATTTCTCCAGCACATGAATTTTTTCTTTTTTAAAGGGCTGTTGTAGGATGAGCTCAGCACCTCCCCTCTGCCCACCCCATTCTGTCTTCCCAACCCCGTTGTTAGCATGAGTTCCTTGCCAGATATGACACCCATGGAACTCCTACCCTTCAGCATGAATTAATGAGCTTTTTCATTTATAAATTACCAGTCTTAGGGCTGGGGATGTGGCTCAGTGGTTAAGAGCACTTGCTGCTCTTGCAGGGGACCTGGG